CATAGGATTTGTCACTACTCTTTTTAAAAGAGATTAATGTCTTATGGAGCCCACTGATAAGTTATGACTAAGGAATTTGCATGGCCATGCTGAGATGCTTTTATGACGTCTGTTCCTATTAGTCAGACTTGATAAATCAGTGAATGACTTAATGGATACAAGTTGGATTTTATTAATCCCTTGCATTAAGTTTAGACATTGAGACAAAGGGATACAGTTACACAGAGTCTGAGTCGTGGAAAGGTTTTGACGGTGCAAACGTCTTAACTTATAATCTGGGGGCAATAATGTGTTGCTAGATACCGCTTATTGTTTATAGTATTGGTGCAGAGCCAATACTGTGGCCAGCTTTATAAGTGCCTATACGGGTCACACACTTTGGACAATTTAAGGAGTAGGATTAAACAATGGGATAATAAGTCATTTATATATTTGTAAAAATAGTAAAATAAAATATTTTGGAGTATAATATATATTATATATACGGTTTATATATATATTTAATATATATATATATGATAACACCGAAATATATATATAAATATATTATATGTTGAATATTTTGTTTTGGTTTGTCATTTTAATTATGAAAATAATTATTTTGACATAAACTGTTTAAAGTATATTTGTATACTTGTTTAAAATGATATTGATATTTTTATTTGATTTAAAATTAATTTTATATTAATTTTTGGTGTCAAATAAAATACACTTTGAACATTTGAGTGGAGAAGAATTTTGAAAATCCTTCTCACTTTCACAAATCAAAACATACGGCCATAATGGGATTTTGAAGTATCAAAATCTCCATGATTGAATCTTTAAGTGGGCTAATTAGTTTTGTCATTTAGTTAATGACAAAGTGAAATTAATCATTTGTTTTTATTTACACTTTTGGCACGCCACTTTCAAAATAAATGGTGTGAGATTAGGCCATGGTTGAGATGTATGATTCGGGCATAATATTTTCTAGTGTGAGAAAATAATATTTTGGTTCCATTAATATCATTTTGTGTATAGAAAATATCTATAATATTTTCTAAATATTATTAGAAATATTTTCTATAGAAATATACAAGATTATTATTATCCCAAATTTTAATCTTTATATTTTATACTACTATAATCTTTACTAGCATAAAGATTGTGGTAGACTCTGGCGTTGTTCGTGTGTCAAAGTTGGAGACCGGACGCTTGAACGGTTACGTTTGCACTTTCAACGCTCTTCCTACGACTTCTTCGTTTTTACCGCTTACGGAGAAAGGTATAAATTTCTTACTCACTATAAGTTTTAGTACGTGATTCTGGGCAAGATAATCATGTTAGGATGTTAAAAATTTTTATATTCCGCTGCCTATCCTTGCATGGTTACCTTTCAAGGCTATCACTAGATATATCATTAAAAATAAGAATGATATACAATCTAAATTAAGAAGCAAAAATTCAACTCAAGAATATATAGAAGCAAACTGGCCAAGTCAGCTATCATTTCCTTCAACACTTCCCCTACTTTTGGCCTTATCTTTACCTCTTATCCATATTAAGTCTCGCCAAAATCAAGATACTCAGCTCCCAACTCACTATATTTCCATCAGACAGTGTTGGGCTATTATATTGTATGGTCACTGTCCTCATAACCCTGCATTTTCCAAGTCTAACATAAATCAAACCTTTGTCCAAAAAAAGGGCCTATTAAATTATAAACTAATTTATGACGCAATCACACATTAAGATACATTGAACTTAAAAAACCAAACACAAACACCTCTAAAGTAATCTGCACTTCTGTTTCCTCGGTGTTTCTCCTACACGGCATGGCTTATGGTGTAAAGTATTAAAGGGGGCAATAAGACCAGCGTAAAAACAAATCAATTGCTGATTGCCTTAAAAAGCGCGTAAGAGAAACCCAATAATGCCAAATAACACAGAATTAATTAACTTCACCTTCCCGACATATGACAGATTTTTTGTAGACCACGTGGTGAGTTTAGCAGTCATTTTCTCTATGAGCCTCTCACAGTCTTTGGCATTGATTCTGGAAGAAGTGACAGGACTTCCTAAGTATTTGAATGGCAATGAACCCTTTCTCATGTTGGTTATCTGCAGTAATTGATTCTCCTGGTGTTTGGTGATCCCCCCAAAAATAATTTCAGACTTGGAGTGATTGACAGAAAGCCCAGTAATAGAGGGAGAAGTGTTTTAGGGCTGACAGAATGCATTTGATGGAATTCTCATTTCTCCCTGTTTGCATAGTATTGGAAGGATCTGGTAAGATACTCCATTATGACAACAAATAAGAGGGGAGATAGGGGTCCCCTTGGCGTATACCCTTCCCTCCTTTGAAGAATCCAAAGTCTTCTCTCCTGCATTTAAAAAAATAAATTCTGTACTAGCAACCATATGATTCTATGATTAAAAATATTAGTCTAAAAAAATTAAATACAACGATTCTTTTCCCATATTTATTTAAAACATATTAATACAAAAAATGATTAGTGTTATGATGATTCTAAATGGAAAGGGAGAAAGATTAATACAAAGTATATGGGCAAAATATAAGGAAAAAACAAATAGAACCTTCATCTTTTTGTCCCCAAAATAAGAATGCCAAAAGTGCGGAACTGCCAACATATAATACAGATCGCAATGAAATGCCTATGTATAATGCTCGTTTTTACACTGCAATAGTACTATTTGGGGCTAAAAACATATCACTTCTATTTTGGTTGACCTCTTGAAGGAAAATTTACAAAAATATTTGACTATTTTGATTCTTTTTTTATTTTCTTAATGGAAAACCATTCAAACCCTTGATAGCATTCTAGTCAATACAAAATATTTTATCAAAATACACACAATTTTAAATCGAAAATTATATTTCTCTTTAATGTGGTTGTACCCAAGGCTCCATCTTATTCGCTTTTGCACCTTGGATCTTCTCCGTATTTTTATTACTTTTTGATTATCCTTGCACCTATATCTTCATTGTCACAAATCTTCTCACGCTTCTCTCTATACAATTTTTGAGTAAATTCCATAATTGGTCCTTTATAAAAAGGGGGGTATCCATATTTAGTCCTCTATTATCAAATATTACCACTGTAGTTCTTTTTTAAGGGTGTCTTTCCACAAATGATCCTTTTTTGATCTTCTGCCATCTTGGTATTAATTTAAAGGCTAAAAAGTATAATTTTACATCAACATTATGTCTAGTGACCTGTTCTGATATTGGTTAAACGGATAACACAAAAATAATGATTATGATTGTGGGTTAGGATTCCAACGAAAGACCACATTTGTAAACTATGGTTGTAGTAGAAAGCAATTGTAATTCACAAACGACAGAAACGGAACAACCTTTGGAAATGTGTATGACAAAAAAGATATATCATTGTCAAATTACATTTTTATCTATCATATTAACACCAACATGATTGAAGATCAAACAAGGACTATTTGTGGAAAGTTACTAATAAAAGAAGGACCACTAGAGTAATATTTGACAATGGGGGACTAAATAAGGAAACTCCCCTGTTATAAAGGACCAATATATCAAATTTGACCATAATTGTTTTTGTGGAAAATAAATTTATTTCATTTTTTACTAATTGATTCTTTTTTACCGGGGTATTTTTCTTTTTATTTGAAGTCAAAATATTTTTGTGTTCTATTATTTTCTAATTATTTGAGTCTATTTGTAATCATTTATTAATGTTGGACTAATCTATTGACTTTAAAAATCGAAACAAAATCTTGATATGTAGTAATAAAATGTATCCAAATTTATATAACAAAATTTAGAATCAAAACAATTTATTGACTTTACATAATATATGGATTATTAAAATATGTTAAAATTTTTAAAATTCAAATAGAATTCTCCCACTTAATTAAAAAAAGCTATGTTAGAAACATACTAAATTAGAAAGGACAAATTATTGTTTTTTGAGATTTGGTTTCATATCATTGTTAGTGTCTTTTGTTATGAATAATTCACTTAATTTATACTAAAAATTAATTCTACTATTTTATATTCCATTTATTTATTTTTCATTAAATTCAGAAGTCCATAATTTTTGTATAATATCAAATATACTGGTTTAAACTTATCAAATATATAAGTAATTAAAAGTCAATTTTTAAAAGTTAATATGAACTATTTTATTAAAATGGTCAATAAATATTTAAAGCATGCCATGTATTTTTGTCCTTTTGCCATGTCATTTAAAAATGCAATATAAAAGTAACATATGTCGAGCTCTTAAAAGCATGAGTCTCAAATATTAGTATAACTAGTATTCTAACCCGTGCCACGCATGGGGTTAGACAAAACTTTATTCGATTCTGTAATTTTTAAGACACGGTTCTTTAACTTTTTCTAAATTCTAACTCTTAAGATCCGTTTGGCTAAGAGAAAATATATTTTTATATAAAATCAAAATTCTAGTTTCCTATGTCTAATGGCATAAGTGGTTGTAAATCATTTTTAGAAAAATATTCTTTCAAATAGAAGAAAATTGCTTTGGTTTGTTTTAGAGAAAATTCATTTTTGTACTCAAATCACGAGGATTTCTCGTGTTATTTTCTCCCACCCAAACTATGCTACATAAAATATTTTATATTAACTTAAAATATCTTTATTTTTTAATTAGATATCAACAGTGCATTAAAATTACTAATATAAAAAATTCCATTTCTAACAAATAATGAAAAAAGTTTTTAAGAATAAAACTTCAGATCAAACAATGGAAAATATGGGGGGGAAGAATAATTTTCATGGAAATTATTTCCCCCTTAAAAATAACTTTCTAGAAACGTATTTTCCCACAACCAAACGCATCCTTAACTTTTATTATTTTACAACGTATTACGTTTCTTTTCATCTCTTTTTAGTTTCTTCCAAGCATTTCGAGATTTTCGCATTTAATGTTTCTAACTTTTTAAAGTTTTTTCTTACTCTTATTGGTTTCATCTAATTTTGTCACTAAAGGTTATGAACGAAACACCGTAGGTGCCCTAATTCTAATTGGCGTCATTCAGAGCCACTCAAGGTTAGTTGTTGTAGAACCACTCTGTATTATTATACAGAGTAATTATTATTTTCTACAAAATATTATTGTTGTTGTTTTTATTAATATTATCATTATTATTATTATTATTATTATAAATGTAAGAAATTAGAATTTTTTTACTCGTAAACAAATATATATCGAATATAGAGCAACACTTGTGTTTTTATACTTTAGATTAACTTATTTTTTAATCATTTAGTTATATATGTAATTAGTGGTATTTTTATTGTCTTATTTAAATGATAGTTTTTTTGAATCACAAAAAATAATTTGTATCACATTGATGGATAACTATTTACTTATCACTGTCAATAGCATATAAGAAAATTTTGAAAAGGAAACATTAATTTTCATAAGGTACCTTTCATGTGAAAAAATATATTCTACACGCTAAGTAATGGAATATAATCAATTAAATAAAGAAAAATATTTAGCAAGACGTGTATGATCAGAATAAACTTATCAATGGATAACCAATATACTCTTAATGGTAATTATATTAATTTAGTTATAGATAGCTCAAATCTTCCAAATTCAAGAGTCCCTTTTTTAGGTGGAGAAGACGGGCAAAATTGAAGCCTTTCCTTCGGCGAAGAAGAGAAGGTGAGCACAGATTCTTCGGATTCTTTCCTTTTGGATGGCGTCGTTGAAATTGCATCAGGAAGAAGATTCCCATGAATAAATTGATTCTTTCCTTTTGATCGCGATGAGACAAAGAAAAAAGTGGCGACAGATCTGGGCAAGGAAAAGAGACCAACAACGGATTCTTTTTGCGCTTGAGGGGACAACGACGATGCAACTCACGACGACGGAGACGATGACATCAAATCCTTAAAGGTGCTCAATCTCTTCTGAAGATAAATATCCATTCTCAATTTGGAATATCAATTTTGGTATTTGGATCAGAATCTAGAGAGAAGATTGAGAGAGCAGATTGAGTTTCCTTCAAATAAGAAGAGAAGGCAGAATAGAGAACTCAGATCTTCCAAATTCAAGAGTTTCCTTTTTTAGGTGGAGAAGACAGGCAAAATTGAAGTCTTTCCTTTGGCGAAGAAGAGAAGGTGAGCGCAGATTCTTCGGATTCTTTCCTTTTGGATCGCATCCTTGAATTTGCATCGGGAAGAAGATTTCCATGAAGAAATTGGTTCTTTCCTTTTGATCGCTTCTGTGAATTTGCATGTGGGAAGCTTCGATTATATAGGCTAAAGGAGAGACACGTGTAGGCTTACTTATCAAAAGTATAGGACTCTAAAATTGCCACATGTCAACTTACTAAACATCAAACTCTCAAATTTATATATAAAGAGTTTCATTTTTTGAAGAAAGAATTTCATAGTCAATATTATGTGTTACATTTTATTAAAAAAATTAATCATAGTTTAATCAAGATTTCATTTTATTAAATATGATTTATTTTTCTAAAAATGTAAAACATAATTCTGTTTTTGGGATATATCAACTCGATTACAATGTAGTATCTATTTATGCTAGACTCATACCCGTGCGTTGCACGGGCAATTAATTTACATGTAATTAGTCAATGTTTGGAATAATGGAAAATATTACAAAACCTGAAAGATTACCTAATTTAATATAATTGCCAACAAAAGGGAAGTATACAGTAATGACCAAAGTCGATATGAAGTGTTATAAATTTTGGAACACTTCTTTATAAACTACACTAGTTTTTAACCCCGTGCTTCGCACGGGCATGGGTTATATGCGGGTGTTGTTTCCTATTTTGTGAATATATACTTGGTAGACAAAATACATGAATACTCTAAGGCATAATGTGTAACTTTAGTAGAATTAATCATCTTTGTAAGTGTTCTTTTTCATGTCATTTTTTTTAAGAATTGAGGATGTGAGATAGAGTGTAGTGTTTTAGGTTACATTTTTAAAAGGTTTTTTATTTTAAAAAAAGGAAATGTAGAAGGATAGAGTAAACCAAAACCCCTAAAAGAGAATAAAAAGACACAATGAATGAGCCACCCGAAATCATCTTTACCAAAATCCAAACTTATAAAACTCAAGTCGAGTTCCAACCAAAGACAACCTAGTCAAAAATTGAATAGAGATTTTAGCATCAAGCTCCATCAAACAACAGATGTATCTTTCATTTCTTACTTCATTCCTAATAGAAAAATAGGAACACCAAAATTTGTGTACAACATTGTACCTTCATCATCATGATCTGCAAACCTAAGGCTCTTTAAAAATCAGACAAACAGTACTAACAGAAGTTGTACAGTGAAACAACATTAAAGTTTTCTAGCTAGATTTTGCTAGCAAAATACCCAACTTTCTTTTTGTACCACCTCTTTAATATATAAAGTGAAGGAAATAACTCTCGACACCAATACGACAACCATATGGTATTCGATTGAGTACAGACTTTAGCATCAATGTGTTGGGTGGACTCCTCTTGGGTCACATGCAATACGGAGCCATTTTTCTGTGTTTTCATAAGGTGGATTATAATTAAATAACACAATCACACATACACAGTGTGAAAGTTTTGTTTTTTAAAATAAATTATCACTTCATTTCCCATGTAAACTAAAATACTTTCCTCCAAAGCCTTATTTCAGTGAAACTGATAACTCGGGTTTGGTTTGGTTTTTTTTTATTCTTTTTTAGGCATTTTTAATACTCTTAGTTTAGCTTAGTTTTATTTTAATTCTCATTTTTATAATCTTTTATTCTTTTTCTCATAAATAGTAGATTTTTAGTCATTTTTTTTACATGTTATTATTTTTTATTTTTTCCTAACCCAAGTAATCAGATATCTTATTTTTTGGAGAAAAATGTAGCAAAAGGCCGAATCAGAAGTCCAAGTTTTAAAGGAAGAGATCAAATTTGGGCCAAGCCCAAATCCTACATTAACACTATGTTTGGCTCAAGGATTTTGGAAGTAAAGAAAAGAAAATGGTTTTCTCTCATTTTCCTCACCAAAATGGAAGGAATTTGATTTTCCATCCACTTGTACATTTTGCCTCCTCATTTTCTTTTCCTTCCACTTTTCCTACCAAACAAGAAAAATGATATTCCACTTCATTTTCTTTTCTTTTCCCTTTCAAATTACTTGAACCAAACATAGTGTAAAAGAATCCATTCTCATTTTCATTTTCTCATTTTCTCATTTTCTCATTTTCTCATTTTCATTCTCATTTTCTCTCTAGCAACAAAGGAAAAAAAAAACGGAGAATAGCGCAAACATCTTCCACGCAGCGACTTCGTCTTCTTCGAAACGCTCCAACGTCTCTCCATCAATTTCGTCATTCAATTCTCCAACGGGAAGATATCAACGGATCAATCCTCCGTGTATAAATGGAAGTACAATCGCAGCTAAAAGGAGGGGAAAACACGAGGAACAGCAACGATTGAGAGCCGCGGCTTAGGCCGCGGCGGTGGTGATGACCGGCGAGTTAGTCTGGCGCCCGGCGGCAAAAGCTCCGGCCAGAGGTTTATCGGTTCCTTCAAGCTCCAATTCTTCAATTACTTCTTCTTCTTCAATAATTGGTAACCCTATATGTTATTTCTTCGATTTCTTCTCCAATTTCTTTGTAAAAGTGTTGTTTCAATGCAAATTTACATTTTTTTCCCTTGTTTGTGTTAATTTCGAAAATTCCAAAATGGTTGGCGTTCTTTTATGGGTTTTTCATGTTATATTAAATCCCTTATGAATGAAAATTGGTTCTTACTAGTTTCTTCAATTTTTGCGTAAATTGATGTTTAAGTGGTTGAATTATAAATTTGATTTCATAAGTAGGTCGGTATGTTGAATTCGGTTATCATTGAAGCTAATTTAGCTACATATTTTAGTTAAGTGATTCTCGAATTCATACGTGAATCTTTTTTGTGACTTGTGTTTTGTAAAATTTTAAGGTAATGAACTTCTTAGCCACATAAGTCGAACGTTTTCCTTAAGATTCGTTATAAAGTGATTGTTATGTGTTGGTGTTCTTGTTTGTCATTTTCACAAAAATTAGGATTGTTTAAGCGCAATAAACAACTCTTGATTTAATGAAAATATGTAATGTTTTTCTTAACTGAATAGATTTGTTAAGAATACGAACTCATCAAGTTCCTCTGGACGTTTTATAAAAGTAGTAATCTGCAATTTCAAATAATTTCACATAGTTTACAAGAAGTACTTATGAAACACGTACCCTCAATCTTACTTTCTTAGATTCGCTCTTTTATAAACTTTTTCATCTTTTGGAATCATTGTTTGAGCGCTTGAGGTGAGTGGGGGTTCATAGTAACCAAAAGGCCTTTGAATCTTTGACTCCGGGCCTTACAGAGAGTTGACGATCCTCTATATGTGGTCAAGGATATGAATCAACTCGAGCCTTTGAATTCTTTTCTATTTTTAAGTGCGTAAGTTACGTAATATATTGTCTACGTGCCTATTATACGTGTAATGTTCGTTTTGTGTTCGTTCTCTTTTTAATTTTGTTTCGGGTTCTTGGCGGTGTTTCGTGGGTTACCTTAGTTGGAGAAGTTGATTATCTTTTGAGCTTGTTTTCCCTCATTTTATCAAAAAAACCAAAAAAAAAAAAAAGAAAATATAAAAAACCAAAAAAATATTTACTTTTTATTCAAACCCCCCCTTTTTGTGTTTTAAGTTATAAATATAAGTTTTTATACTTTTTTAGTATATCTAAAGTATATGTTTTATGTTTATAAGTTATATTATAAGTTCTTTGTTTATATAATTTATATTTATATGTTTTTATATTTATTTAGTTATAAGTTTTATTATAGGTTTTATAAGTTTTATCATATGTGTAGTAGTTAGTTTTATTTTCATATTTATTTTCGTGACAACGTATTCGCATACTAAAATGGTTTTCAAAAGTACAAACTTTCTCCGTGGGATCGACCCTTACTTGCCCTAGCTATAGTTTTTATTTGATTATATATTGAGGGTTAGTTAAGGATATTTTATAAATTTTTAATTTGTTTTGGACCTCACGACAAGTCCCCAACAAATTTTGGCGCCGTTGCCGGGGAAAGTTTTGTATGAAATCTTTTTTAGCATGTATTCTCTTCTTCTGCTTTGTTGAACAAATGACCTCTTTTCTTGTGTTCAAGACTTATGTGCATGTTAAATGTTTAGAGTTGAGGTTATTTGTGTACGAAGAAATTGAAATTAGCATGTTTTTTTGGTTGTTGAAATTTATGCTCCATTTGCGGTTTTTATGAAATTTCAGTACTATTTTTCATCAAAACTGCATTTTGAGATCTTTTTCTTCATCTATTCTTGCTGATTTTTGTTTCTGCATATCATATATGCTGCATTTCATTGATATATGTGTTTTTTTTCCATAATCTTATATGTGCAGCATGTATGTACTGATTATATAAGCCTTGAATGATAAGTTTGCTGAATTTCTTGGGCTTAATATGCTGTTTTTAAAAAATATGCACTTCTAGGCTTTCTTTTTGTGCTGATTTTTGTCCCTTGGAGTGCTTCTTTGCTTCAAATATGAACTATAGTTGATATATCTTGCTTGGGGGCAATATTTTGAAGCATATCGTAATGTTTTCATTCTGATTTTGAAGCTTTAAGTGCTAATTTTAGAAAAAATCTGATCCAAAGTGCCATTTTTTTTAAAGAAGAAATCAGCAATGTGTTTAAGCTGATTTTTGAGTTCCTTAAATGCTTATGTGCCATGAATCCTAATTGTTAAAACTTGCATAGGAACTGATTCGAAGGCACATAGCATGACTTTACATTCATATTTTGATCCATACATGCTGAATTTTGTACTAGAAGGGCTAAAGGATCAAGAAAATCTGATTTTTGAACTTCATACTTGAATCTGATTTTTAGTTCCTAAATGACCATCTAGTGATAATCTTGGTGTAGAAACTGCCAACTAAAGCTGAAATTTGAGAGCATATATGGATATTTAATCTTTATTTGTTTTAAAGAAACATATATACTTTACTACTTCATGGTTTAAGTGAATATGTATTGGCAAGTAGTAAATTGTGTCTAGCTAAAGACGTTAAATTGGGCGGCTTATGGGAGGCAACCCACCTTTTTAAGTTTTTTTTATCTTTCTAAAAAAAACTCTTTTTACTTATAACTTCTCGTTATTGTTGTACTTTTTCTCTTATAGTTATTGATTGCATTTTTTTCCTTTTTTCTATTTTTCTTTAACTTCTTGTTGTTGTACTTAACTTTTTTTTTGTGGTTATTAATTTGATTTTATTTCTTTTAAGAACCAACTTTTCTTCCATATTGATGTAATAGTACTTGTTGTAATTATAGGATTAGTTTTTCCTTTTTTCTCTTTCATTTTATTTTTGAAAAACACAAAAAAGTGAAAAAAGTATGTTGCTTGATTTTAAATGTTTTTACTTCATTTGTGCTTCTAACCATCTACTTTGAGAGCTTTTTGCAAGATTTGTTGAGTTTTAGGTGGAAGCATAGGTGTTTGGAGTAAAATTCTGCACGGTTGGGTGCAAATCTCTTTTGAAACAGTGATTCTTGGTGCCCGAGTGTTGGTATATTGCCTATCTTATGTTTCTCGAAGCCTTGGGTGTTTAAATTTGGTCTTATTTGAGTTGGAAACCTAAAAATGCTGCATCTTTTTGGTTGAATTGGGCTACAAACCATAAAAAAATTGGTTTTGATTTATTAGATTTTTGGGCTATAAACTGAAAAATATGCACTTTGTGAGCTGTTTTTTTTAGTGCCGAATGAAAATTCTACACTTTTCACAGCTTATATGTGCTAAAATGGAAAAAAAATCAGAATTGTTTTTGTTCTTAAACGCTAAAATACTTGGTCTTAGCCTTCTTTTTTCAGATTTTTTAGGTCCAACAAAAGCATGATAAGAAACAGGGAAAAGTGATGAATTGATGCTGCGTATACTTTTTTGATTGAATTCCCCAACCCCCTTTTCTCTTCGCTAAGCTTGTGTTATATTGCCATTTGCATATCATATAGATGCATCGAGGACTATGCACATTTTAAGTGTGGGGGGAGTTTCTCACGATTATCTTATTTGTTGGGAAATCATATTTTGGGGCAAATTTTTTTCCAAAAAAAAAGGTTTTGGGTCCAAATGTTTTTCATTCTTAGTTGCATATCTTCTTATTTAGAGCATTTTTTTCAAAAATTGACCCAAAAACCTCATTATTTTTCTTGGGGCTTTATTCTGAAAGATAGCAAGTGTATATTTTATAAACTCGCATTGAGTCTTATGCTCTTTTCTTGGTTAAAAAAATGACCTTAAAATGTTTGAAATCCTTTTAGGAATACCATAGAATTTTGTTTTCTAGAACTGGCCATCCACATACTACCTAGATGCTGCCTAATCAACAATTGCTTGATATTAAAATCTAAAAAAAGGGAGAGAAACCAGTTTTAGGAGCCTTTTATTTTTAAAAAATTGAGTGACTTTTATATTTTTAGGCTTATTGATGAACCTTGCTACAGCTGCTATTGAGCCATTTTAAACCATAGGATTCCACTAGGGAACTTTTTTGTAGCAGCTTTAGAGCATTTCTTAGAACCCAAAAAAATCCACACCTTAGTTTTCTATCCTTGTAGGATTTCTAGCTCACTTTGTTTTAAAATGTGAATGAGCATAAAGTTTAAGTGTGGGGGTGTAAAGTTTGCTTTGTTTTTTCTTGATGATGATAAAAACAAATAATGTTTTCTTTTTGGCCCTTGAACGAGGACGTTCAACTCTTAAGTGTGGGGGTATTTGATAACTCGGGTTTGGTTTGGTTTTTTTATTCTTTTTTAGGCATTTTTAATACTTTTAGTATTTAATTTTTAGTAGTTTAGCTTAGTTTTATTTTAATTCTCATTTTTATAATCTTTTATTCTTTTTCTCATAAATAGTAGATTTTTAGTCATTTTTTTTACATGTTATTATTTTTTATTTTTTCCTAACTCAAGTTATCAGATATCTTATTTTTTGGAGAAAAATGTAGCAAAAGGCCGAATCAGAAGTCCAAGTTTTAAAGGAAGAGATCAAATTTGGGCCAAGCCCAAATCCTACATTAACACTATGTTTGGCTCAAGGATTTTGGAAGGAAAAGAAAAGAAAATGGTTTTCTCTCATTTTCCTCACCAAAATGGAAGGAATTTGAATTTCCATCCACTTGGTACATTTTGCCTCCTCATTTTCTTTTCCTTCCACTTTTCCTTTCTTTTCCCCTATAACCAAACAAGAAAAATGGTTTTCCACTTCATTTTCTTTTCTTTTCCCTTTCAAATTCCTTGAACCAAACATAGTGTAAAAGAATCAAGCATCCAATCCATTCTCATTTTCTCTCTAGCAACAAAGGAAAAAAAACGGAGAATAGCGCAGACATCTTCCACGCAGCGACTTCGTCTTCTTCGAAACGCTCCAACGTCTCTCCATCAATTTCGTCATTCAATTCTCCAACGGGAAGATATCAACGGATCAATCCTCCGTGTATAAATGGAAGTACAATCGCAGCTAAAAGGAGGGGAAAACACGAGGAACAGCAACGATTGAGAGCCGCGGCTTAGGCCGCGGCGGTGGTGATGACCGGCGAGTTAGTCTGGCGCCCGGCGGCAAAAGCTCCGGCCAGAGGTTTATCGGTTCCTTCAAGCTCCAATTCTTCAATTACTTCTTCTTCTTCAATAATTGGTAACCCTATATGTTATTTCTTCGATTTCTTCTCCAATTTCTTTGTAAAAGTGTTGTTTCAATGCAAATTTACATTTTTTTTCCCTTGTTTGTGTTAATTTCGAAAATTCCAAAATGGTTGGTGTTCTTTTATGGGTTTTTCATGTTATATTAAATCCCTTATGAATGAAAATTGGTTCTTAATAGTTTCTTCAATTTTTGCGCAAATTGATGTTTAAGTGGTTGAATTATAAATTTGATTTCATAAGTAGGTCGGTATGTTGAATTCGGTTATCATTGAAGCTAATTTAGCTACATATTTTAGTTAAGTGATTCTCGAATTCATACGTGAATCTTTTTTGTGACTTGTGTTTTGTAAAATTTTAAGGTAATGAACTTCTTAGCCACATAATCGAACGTTTTCCTTAAGATTCGTTATAAAGTGATTGTTATGTGTTGGTGTTCTTGTTTGTCATTTTCACAAAAATTGGGATTGTTTAAGCGCAATAAACAACTCTTGATTTAATGAAAATATGTAATGTTTTTCTTAACTGAATAGATTACAATTCTTATGCTTGAGTAGTTCAAGGAGACCTGCAAAATATTTTCATCATTAGACGTTAAAGTTTATTAAAGTGTATCAAATGTTCTTCATGAATACTTTGTGCATGGGAGTTAGAATGAAAGAAAGATTCGCTCTTTTATAAACTTTTTCATCTTTTGGAATCATTGTTTGAGCGCTTGAGGTGAGTGGGGGTTCA